ACTAGCTTAACTTGTTGAAATAGGGTATAATATGTCTCCTTTAAGTAGCTCTTTTGTAATTGAGCCTAACGTGATCTAATGTGATGTGTGGTTGGTTGGTCACTGACTGTACTCCTGATGTCCACCAGGTGGAGCAGGCGGCCACAGAGCTGCAGACCTTCACTCAGCTGAAGAAGCAGGAGGACATGGCCATCCCCCGCAGACAAGCAGTGAGACATTTAACTCCTTTCTTTACAGAAAAATTAGCTTCTTTAAAAAAAAATGTTTTTTTAAATTGCACTACTGTACAGTAGTTATTTATAAAAATGAAGCATTTATACAGTACTTTTAATTGTTAAACAAATGCTTGGGCCTGTAAAAAGGTTTTGTTCTTTGGTTTAAATGTATTATGGAGCATTTCATTGTTTAGTAATAGTTAAAAAAATAAAGGTTACTACTTCACGGGTTCTTTTTGGAACGTAACCCCCGTGAAAAACGAGGGTTCACTGTTGTATAAAAAAAGCGGATGAATATCCTCTTTGTGTTAAGTGGAGTCAGTAAACATCATCTGTGTGCAGACTGGATGGAAATGGCTTCATGGAAAAAATAAAATAGACCAACAAGCTCAAAAGATCATTTCTTTATTAAACTGTGGTTCATTTAGCATGTGATGCTGGTAAAAGTAGGCCAGGCCTGTTAATCCACAACAAAAAACAGAGAGCTGTGTCCCATTTCCCTCCCCTGTCGGCTAAGCTAAATAAGCTAGTTTTAACCTAAGCTAAGCTAACGTTTCCCCCCGTGCTCCAGGCCCTGCAGGAGGACGTGGAGCGGCAGATGGAGAGGGAGCGGGAGCTCCAGCAGAGGTACGGAGAGCTGCTGATGGAGAGAGAGCCGCTGCTCACCAGCGCTCAGAAATACTGAACAAACCCCGAAGGCACCATCCAGACCCTCAAAGACATTAACGTCCAGCTAACAGCCGCTCTGAAATCCAGCTTTCACCCCCCGCCGTGTCCAGCCGTCTCGTCTCTGCTGACGTCGCCACATGAGTTCTGAGCATGCTCAGTTGTCCTCGTTTCCGTATTAGTGACCAATAAAGTTTTCTTTTCAACTGGGACCTGGTGTGTGTGTTTGATGTCTGGTCAGAAAAGACACCGGCCGTAAGCAGAAAAGGTGAGCGAGCCCTCAGCAGATGAAGAACGCCATCCCAGTCCTCCGGTAGGCGCTCTGCCACAGAAACGGACCAATCAGAGCACAGCACAGCTATCCAGGGAACGCACAAAGGCTAGGCATGTCTTAGCTCAAAGTCCTTTCATTTTCCTCCTCTGGTTCAGTTCAGGAGGGAAAGCCAGACTTCCCTCTCCCCAGAAACCAGGTCCAGGTCCTCCTGAGGGGTTTCCAGGCCAGAGGGATATTTAACCCGTCTCATTTCCTGACCTGATGCCTCAGCCAATGAGGAGGAGCAGTGGCTCCACCCCCTAATTCAGCAGCTCCAACTCCAACTCCTCCACCTGGGGAGGGACTCATTTCACCCCTTATATATATATATTTTTTTAAAATTACACAGCAATATAAAACTCAAAGTTTTTTTTTCTTTTCAAATCTCTTTAAAAGTACGTAATGAACCATTATATCAAATTAAGCCATTGGCTTTACATATATATATATTTTTTTATAAAACCTCCATCTAAAGGGGGTGCTACAAGGTACCAGCTAAGCCGGTCACCCAAACCTCTGCTCAGCAAAACATGAAAAGAAAAACACATTCCGAGATTAAGATCTTCCGAGAGAAATGTGCCTAAATGTTTGAATGCCAGTGTATGAAAACGCATGGTTGTGTTCATAAATGTGTCATAATGTTGGGGGGGTTATGAAAGGACCTTCCTCTGTGCAGGTTAACTCATTGACTGCCAGCCATTTTCAGAACAGTCCCATACTGCCAGAGTTTACATACTGTGTGCCGGTAGTTGTATCTCCTCACGGCCTCTCTGATGTGGCAGGGCTGGATGGCTCCACTAGGGGGCTCCACTGCAGCGGGGCAGCTCTGAAACGCAAAAGCCAGGAAATAAAACAAACATCTGGACATCCAACAGACCGGAGCTGCCCAGAGACTGAAGCCAGACCGATGAGATATTCAGCTTTCTGATTCGCTTTCCAGCCAGAAGCTGCTAAAGTTAAAAAGAAATGGTGGAATTTCTTTATTTTTATTTTTTATTTTTTCAACCAGGACAGTGCACATTAATGAACTCTCATACAGATTGTAAATGAGCCAGATTCTAGCATAGTTGCTAGTTTACATCTGTCGTCCTAAGGCAGGAAGACCAAACAACACAAAATCACAAAATACAAAATCAGTCCAAACACACGTTCAGACAATGACATTACAAAATTAAAATTAGTGATCGCATGTCTGGGAACTTTTGAGAAACAGTTCAAGGTGCTTTTTGAATGTGCAAAAACGGGGACCTTCCCTGATGTTTGTTGGGAGGCAAACAAACATCTGGACAGCCAACAGACCGGAGCTGCTCAGAGACTGAAGCTAGACCGATGATATATTCAGCTTTCTGATTCGCTTTGCAGCCAGAAGCTGGTAAAATAAAAAAAAAAAAGAAATGGTGGAATTTTCTGATCAAACCGTGAGTGTGTCTCGCCTTTTTGCGTTTGCGTTGCCGG